GGTGCATTGGGAGTCTGGCGGTGGAAGGGGCCTCATATACCAAGTCAGACCATCATGGGTCCAGACCGTCCAGATAAGCTGAAGGCTGTCTCCGCTGGCTGGCAGCGGGTCGCCAGGGTTTCAGAAAGGGCACCTTCTCCCCAGGCCTACCCGGAGATGCCGGGGACTAACCTACGCGCAAAGCAGACGCCCTACCGCGGAGCCACTGCCCTACCGTGGACTTCTGCGGCTAAACGTCCCACGATCTCGAATTGAGGGCTTAGCCGACTTAATAACCTGCGGGGTGATCTTGAGGCCCTTTCAGGGTCCCTTCAGGAAGGAGTCTGCGCTGCGGTGATTCACCTCCTCGCTGCCTCTTGGTTCTTTCCCTTTGCCTCCTTTTTTCGTAACCCAGTTCTTCCCCTTCCTCGCCGTCTTCTGCGGACGAATCTCTCCCTCTCCCTCTCCCTCTCCCTCTCCCTCTCCTGCATTGCAGACCTATTGGCAAACAGAAAACTCCGCAAGAAGAACATGCTTTCCTAACCCGAACACGTGCGCGCATAGATGCTCAGGAAAGGGCCATTCGATTCTCATCCAGATTTCCTTTCCGGAGACCTGTGTCTAATTGACTGGCCTGACTTAGTTTAACCCTATCCCCTCTGATCTAGGAGTAGGACCCACTGGACTCAGTGGAACTTTCTGCGTAGGCGTTCTCAACATCAATGGTTTCTTTAAAAAATTAATCCTCATCAGCTGCCACGAAAAGGCTTGAATTGCGCGCGAGTGCCGAAGAGCGCATTCATTCCTGGCTGCATCACCGCGCGGCTTTCGTTCCCATGAATAAGATCGCATGGCTACGATCGTGCTGTTAATGTAAGTGGATCTGAGAATTAAATCTACGAGAAGAATCAATGGCCCGATAATTCTGTGTTAATTGCGCTGATGGAGTCAGTGCCCAGTTCTTGGCTCTGGGTAGTTAGAATAAAAGGCAAACCCTCATCTCCGGCGGTCGAGGGTAGTTCAGGACGCTTTTTTCATAACATTTTACTTACCTGTCTAAAAAAACGACTTGCCAGTATCCTCGCCCTTAAATTTTTCTTAGGCTTTATTAATTTGGAAGGTGTCTACCTTTCAGTAGAGAACGGTTTTCCCTGTTTTACGAAGTAACACAAGCGAATCAAATCATGTTACTGTTTATCCGAATTATATTTCAACATCAATTACGATTATTCGATGGTGCTGATTATGATTATTACGCCTCGAACTAGAGATGTCGCCTCCAGCAGAAAATAAAAAATAAATTCATCAGCTGAAGGCCTGGGAAAGAAATGATGATGCAATTCTGCGTCACCGTGTGACGTTGTGCGGGGGAAGATTATAGCTCATTTTCCTTCCTCTGACTTAAAAGCCATGTGAATGAATTATAATACAGTATTTTAAAAAACAAAAACGTGTAACATAATGGAATCTAAAATATATGCGACAATAATAAACAACACTAGCCTATGCATGTTTACTCGGAAGTAAGTCCCACTGTATCCACTGGGCCTTACTCCAAGGAAAGTATGCATAGGATTGCATACTTGTTGTTGCGGCATATATTAGATATATACAGTAAAGCTATTTCAGTTTGGTCATTTGCGTATTTCAGACGGACAGATGAGCAATGCAAACGACGACATACATTATATTTCTGCCCTTTTCCCTTTCAAGGAGAAAATTCTGCCTTGCTTCTTCTCTGCTAGAAAATTGCAGGAGTTAATATTAGATATATATGAGACATCGTGCTCTCTTTGAAATGGATTATTTACGAAAAACGGAAGAGAAAATGTTAAAACATTTCCCACCCGTTACACATATTCCTAGGTTATTTCTGTGTAGAACGCTTTGCGAAGCAGCTTACTACTTCGACGATTGCTCTGTTATACAAGATCTCAAAGCATTCGATATTCTAGAAGCTTCAGACAATGCTGTTCGCTTGGAGTACTGGGAAAAATAAACCTTATGTGCCCACAAGGAGGCGCTATTTGGAATTTCCTAATTCCAAAATTAATACAATGAAACGCAGCCAGTTAAGATAAGGGGAAATAGATGGGTGGGTAAGAAGATTGCTTTTAAAAAAGTACTGTTCACTTCTGACGTTTTATGCTGCCTCCAGCACAATAACAGTTTAGAACTAGGATGATACATTCTTTAAAGGAAACGTGAGCACCAACATCTTGTACTCTGTAGGTTTGAATAAAATACTTTCTTTCCTACTGCAGTGGATGGAATCTGGCATGAATTTCAATATCCAGGAACTATCAAGAGCTGCATGGATTACTATAATTGAATGACAAATTTGCTTAAATCTGACAAATTTCAAAACTGCCACTAATTCAAATTTTGGAATATTTGGTAAATCACATTTAAGAAATCACTGGCATAATTTTCTTCCTCATCAGATACATAAAAGAGTTTAAAATACTACACAAATCTAATTCTTCAGAATACATTTAAGAGCAAAGAAATATCATATAAATATCTCTTCTTTGCTGAACATCAGTTTTTGCCACCAAAGCTATAATTACACTGAAAAGCCACAAATAACCCAAATCCCAGATAAGAAGTTGAAAATTCAGATATCAAGATGAGCTATTCAGACTTTTCAAATATTGATATGCAAATTTGATATTTGAGGATTTAAATAACAAGGCAGGGAGGGTAGGGGAATGAAAACATATAAATGAGAAATTTCCTCACTGTTTCATTTCAGTTCTACACTATACAAGTCCAGCTACACATTCAGCTATAATGTGACATGGCCCTGTCAGGACTGTCTCACTTCGAAAAGTGTGTTTTAATTACTCTGTTAAAAAAACTGAAGAAAAATAACCTAGAATATCAGAAAAAAGACTACATTTTGCAATCTTTACCCTTACAGGCTATCTTACTACAGACAGGAAGGATTATTTTATATGGGGGGAAAACTCATTCATGTGATTTCCCCCTACCCATAATCTGAAAAGGTATAGTCCAGAAAGAGTTGTACCATAGGATAGTTCTGAATGTGTATTTAGCTTTTTAGACTTGTCAGACTCTGGGGTTTACTTCCCATCTCAGTAAAAGCTGAGCTCAGCCTCAACTTCCCATCTGTAAAATGATAATACTGGTCACTTTTGGCATGCTGCAGTTGCGCAGATATGCTATGGAAAGAAATACTTTGTACATTAAAAATGGTGTATGAATTAAATAACAGCAAAAATTATTAATGGGTTGAGGAACTGAAAACGCAGAGACACAATCAGCAAAATTCAGAGGCACACACCCAAACCTTATTATAGTCTCCCTTCCTGAGCCACACTCAAATAAACTGAGATGGGAAGGGCCAAGGCAACTGTATCCTAAAAGATAATCCTCATTGTGCATTGGCTCGATCACAAATGATAGACTTTGTATCGGTTAGAGGACAGCTAATGTAACATAGCAGCGAAGAAACTTGGACCATAATTCTGTGCACAAGGAGTTGGTCCCATAGAAATCACATTATGTGCCACATGAGTCAAGGAGCTGCCAAGTCAAACCTTGTACCTGCCATGACCCCACTACATACTTAATAGCACAATCCTACTCAGAAGTAGGTCCTATTGAGGATTGCAATCTTAGACAAGTCCTTGTCTCACAGCCTCTTCCCCAGATCTGTAATAATGTACTGATACTGACCTACCTTAATGGCTTGTTGCCATGAGATAATGTTTGTGAAATGCTAGGTTTTAGCACAGTAGGGTGCTATCGTTCATACCAAGTTAGTTGTAATGACCAGCTTGTCCCACTGATTTCAAAGGAACTTAAGTTCAGATACACAACAGAGCAATCCTAACCATGTCTATTTGGAAGACCTATTGTATGCAATGAGACTTATTCCCAGCCTTGGCTACAATACTAACCTCAATTACCTGGGAATAAGCCCCATTGAATTCAATGGAGCTTACTTCTGAGTAGCCATGGTTAAGACAGCAGTCTCAGTCTGGATGCAGCCCAGTGTGCTCCCAGATTACAGTCCCTAGAACAAACCATGCCAGCCAAAGTTCTTATGGTTTCTCTTTATTGTTTGATATATTTATGTACCACATTATATGTTAAAGATAGATTTTCTGATATACATTTTTCATCTTTTTTACCACAATTACACCACACATACATTGGAAACAGCTCCACAGATCTGGTAGTTGCACAGAATGGTTTTTTGTGTGTGTTTTGTTTCATATCCAGAATACTTTTTTTCAAATCAAACAACTTGATTTTATTTTATTTTGCAATTTAGAAATAAAAATGACCCAATCCAGAACTGAACTCCCAAGTCTCTGATCTCAGATGGAGGTCAAGGAAGGTCAAAATGGGAAGCGCTGGTATTGGACATGAGTTTGTATGGAAGTATTAAGCAGTCCTTACTAGTTGTTTTAATATACAATGTAAACACTACAGCTTTTGTGGCTCATCATTGGTCACTGAAACCATTTCAACTAGTTGCTCATACAATCTAAATCTTGCATTAAGTTTCATCAGGTCATTATGTTGCCCAGTTTCCCAGCACAAGGATCCCAAGAGACTTGGGTGCCTTTTCTTTTTTAAAAAAACAAGACTGAATTGCATAATACTTGCAGAAATATTACCAGCAAACCTCTCATTATTTCCAAATACAGAATTTCATCTTCCTTATAAAGATAAGAGTTTTTAGACTAGTGAATGAACAGGACAAGGAAATATTTCAAATATTTTCTCTCTGATAATATCTAAATATATATATATATATATATGAGTCTTCTTAAGTTTATTTTAAAAGTCTGCTGGGCTAAGCGTTTGATCTGGAAACTTTGCTTAACGTTCTGTGATAGAATTTCTTGGGTGTACTTAACTGAAACAAAAAAAGAAAGAACAACATTTCTCCTTTGATGAGGATGCATAATCATTTGACTATGTGGATGTTCTGTGTGATTCTCTCGCAACCCCTCCCTTTAAGTGCAACCAGCTCAACTCATCCTTTAGTCTTCTGTATTGGTTCTATAAGCCTCGATGAGGCCTTCTAAAGAGTGAATGAACCCAGACACACTGCATATACCCCCTATTACAAAAATGGCCACATCAAAGAAGACATGGTGCCACAAGAGCTTCCTCCACAAGAGCTTGAGGTGGAAGAGGCTGGGGAGGAGGAAACAGAGGCCTGCACCTGTGAGGCTCCCGGTCAGGCCCATCAGGAGGGCAAAATGAGGGACATAAATGGCCATCAACAAGGTAAAAACTACAAGGGCACACCTGAGGGTGAGTCCCCAGGATTTGATCCTGCCATCACCTCCATAGCAATTAGGGAAGAAGGCCCTGGCTCCATCTTGGAAGAGGGATCTCTCCAGGACCTCCACAGCTGCAAAGAACGGCAATGGGTAGGACAGCAAAGCTTTGGCCACCAAGAAAAGGTTGACGACGGCCCTAATGGTGGATGGTAAGTTATCTGTGATGACTTCCTTTGTCTCGTCGGCCCAAGTCAGGTAGGCAACCAAGGCAAAGAGTCCCTTCAGGATGCAAGCAGCTATGTGAGTCCAGTTCATCATGCAGTGGAACTCCTTAGGGTTCTGCATGTTCCCTTCTAAGGAAGGCAGAAAGATCTGAGAGGTGTAGCTGAAGACAATGATGCCGATGGAGATGGGGAACTTCTTCACATCAATGTAAAACTTGACTTTGTCCCATGCCCAGTCGCGGGCTCTGGAGAGGCAGTAGGCGATGACTAAAATGTTGATCACAAAATGGGCCAAGGTGCAGAGCAAGCTGAACTTGGAGACAGCCTTGAGGTTCTTCAAGAAAGCACAAGGAAGGAGCACAGCTGTGGCAATGATGGACCATGATTTCTGAGAGACCGGCAAGGTTGGGAAGCTGTTGTACATCAGGTTGCCACTGACCACCACATAAAGGATGCAGGTCATGACCAACTCTATGATCTGAGCCACATTCACAATCCTGCCCCCAAGCGAGGGGAACCTGGGAGCACAGCAAGCATTCGCAATGTCCACATAGGAGTCTCTCACCCTGACTATCTCCCCGTCTTCGTTCTCTTCATAGAGACAGGCAATGAGGATTTTCCCAGTGTAGCAGCAAACCACTGCTGCAAAAATAATTAAAAAGAGTCCTAGGTATCCACCATGGAGTATAGCATAGGGCAGGCCAAGGACAAACATCCCCTAAAAAGAGACAAAATGGAGACTGTGTTGCTCAGTTTTACTTAGCACGTGACAACTCGGGGGGGTGGAGGTGGAAGGGACAGAAACAAAATGCAAGGGCCTGTTACCCACCCCCACCCCTCCAATCTTCCATAGAATTAAATAAAAATCAGGACAGACCCCAGAAAGAAATAGCATAATTCACTTTTCTTCATGTAATAACTCTTAAATGTTTGAATGTAATCACAGAACCTTTATTTAAAGTGGCGGTGGTGGGGATTCTGTCATTTAAATTCTGTGGTTTCTTTCTTTTTTAAAAAGAAAAAGTTGTATGCTTTGGAGAGGGGGGGGAGCATAAATAGTTAAATATTTAAAAGCTTTTTAAAAAACCAGTTAAGTAATCCAAAATGTTGTGGAATAAATTTCAATAAATCATCGTCCTTGCTTGCAGATGCTTTTTGTTATTTTAAACTCACATTAAGACTGCAATCCCTAACACACTTGCAAGGCAGTAAGCCCCATTGAACATTATAGGATTTATCTCTAGGTGAGAATGCATTGGATTCACTGCATTTCTTTAAATGGCTTTTGACCCTTTTTCCTTTGACTGGGTTTTTGTTTTTTAAGATCCAAAGCATTGAAGCAATCTTGAAAATATCTCACACAAAGAAGTGGCTGGCAGCTCTCAAATTCATTCCCTTCTTTGAAAATTGAAAGGATATATTTTGAATCAGTAGCGAACACAAATATTCGTAACTCTTCCCCTTCCCCTTTGTATCTTATCTTGTTAAGACTGTAAGCAGCTGGCTCAATTTGCTGCTCTTTTAAAATAATTAAATAAATTGTACCTAGTACCTGGTGCAATATCAGACAGAATAATAAAGTTTTGGTGTTTCAAACTGTTTGGAGTTATAATCTGAGGATCCGCACAATTCCTTTCCTCTCCTCCCCCCTCCCAAATATGCGATTCTGCAATGAAACATTCGTTAATTCATTATTGCAAATGTAAAATGCCTTGGTTTAAGCTAGAAGACATTCCCATTAGGTTCCTTATGCAAACTGAAAACCAGTTCAGCCAAATGAATCTAGTCCTATGGCCGGACTGGTTTATAAGCCATATTGGTGAATCGTTACAGAGGGCATTTTTAGAAGCAGTCTTGATAATCGAAGATTCCTCTAGGTATCAAAAAACTCCGCCACATTTTCAAATAAGAAAACATTTTTTTACAAAAATTCGATTTGGCTGTAAATTAAATTGAATTTTATCAGACCTGGCAATAAATTGGACAGGGAAATATTTTAAAATATCAATAGACAGGCTTGGGGAGTCTCGCATTCCGTTTCCAGCCTTTTAATACCCAACGAAAATCGATCACAAGTATGGAAATGCAACTTTATCTTCCTAAGAAGCATTTCCTGATCAATTATTACTTTCCTCCTTTCGGATCTGAAGAATATCCGATTGAAACCGAAGAACACCGGGATGTCATTTCGTTACATCGCATTTTTTTATTGTCTGTAACAGGAGTTCTTGACTTTATGCACCTGCACTTTTGAACACACAAAATTAACTCTTTAAAGGAAAGTGGGGGCGGGGGGGGGGGACTCAGTGAGATTGTGCAGTTTGGTTTGAGAGATTAAAACCAGGAACCGTCAGTTTAAGTACTACGATGCAAAAAGACGTTAATGTATAGTGTCTCTGTGTGTTTTTCCATTTACTCCTTAGGCGAGTCACATTCCAAATGCGCGGCTTTCTCTTTTTATTAGCTGAATGGGCAGAGGAAAATTAATACAGACTCTGAAACGCCTAGGGGAGGAGGGAACAGGCTCTCCTGTTTGGACCATCTGTTGCCTTGGTTATGTCGAGGTGCAGAGTCGAGCCAGAAGCGGTGCTATGCACCAAAACAAAACAAAAAACACCGAATTGAGGAGGAAAGAAAGAAGAGGCAGAAGGGCCATTCGGATTTCGAGGTGCATACCCGACACCACAGTCTTTTGTGTTCCGTAACAATGTCTGCGTTTTGATTTCTCAGCATGAGAAACATGGATTAACATCATCACTGCAGGAATAAGATGGACCGAATTGAGGTGGGGAGAGGGAGGAGGGAAGAGAGAGAAAAAAGAGAAGGACAGAGAGAGAGACTGAAGTAGGGAGAGAATTCTTTGGCCATTCTTTTAACTGACCTAAAAAGAGAAGTTGTTGGCTGTTGATGCGTGTGATGCGATCTTAAGTATGTGCTCCCGAATCGCGACCTAACCCCTAATCCTTGAATGTCCCGGCCCCAGTTATGTTATGTGCAATCACCCATGTGCGACGTGGTCTCGGGAGTCCACAAGTTCCTAGGAGAAGTGGTTTGCACTAGGTGGTCCGTTGGAGGTTCCTCCACCGCCTCTAAGGTCCTATGAGGGCAGGGAGCGTGAGGGCAGGGCGCAGCTGAGCCGCATCTGCGACGGAATTCGCTCCAGGGCGAACCATGATGCGCACGGGCCCCTAGGAAGGAGGTGGGGGGGAGGAGGGCGTCCTGACTCTCTGCAAGGCAGTGGCCAGGCTCTGCCGCCGGTTCCAAGGGAGCCAGGACCCCGCCCCACCGAATGAAGAGCAATGGAATTGGGGGGGGGGGGGAGTTGCGTTACCTGGATGGCGTTGGTGACATTCCAGCCGGCTTCCCAGGCTGTGATCCTGGGCTTCCCTTGGCCGGACAGCTCGGAGCAGACGCCTTCGTCCTTGGAGGCGGACGGAGGCAGGGGCCCGGTGCCGTCCCGCTGGTAGTGGATGTCCCCTTCCAAGGGCGGCTCCCCTCCTTCCTCGCTGCCCTCGGATTTCAAGATGTCCATCTGCAGCCCTTGCCGGTGCTCGTAGTCCAGGTCATCGCAGTGCACGAATCCCACCGCCTCCTCGTCCGTCGCCGCCTGGAAGCCCAAGCGGGCGAACACCCCACTGACTTTCGCCTGAGACTTGTTCGAAACCGAGGTGGCCACATTGGAGATCTTGCTGCGGATTAGCGTCGCCATGATGCTGGCTCTGGCTGCGCCTCAATCGGGTGTGTGTGAGAGTGAGTGAGTGTGTGTTGGGGGCGGGGAGAGAATTAACACGCTCCTAAAAAGTAGGGGGAGTTGAAAATTTTAAGTTTAAATTTTAAAAAAAGGTCGGTGGAATTCTGCGCCAAGCACGATCCAGGCTCCGCTCGTGCGCTCTTGCCGACGGTGGCGATGCGTTTTAGCAGGGCGCTATCTCCACTCCCGGATGGAATTGGACCTTCTCCTCCTCCGCAGTGTCCCTTGGACCATGACACCACTCAGAGGGTCCACCTTGGCGCCTCCATATGAGCCTGTCGCCTTCTACCTGGTGCATGAGGGGAGGGCAGGGCAGGCAGGGCTGCGGGGTGGTCGTGGGGATGTCTGCTGCTTGGATGCCCGGCTCGCCTCTCCCAAGAAATCTCCTCGTCTTCCTCTCTCCCCCAGCCTCCTCCTCCCTCTTCTTCTTCTTCTTCTTCTTCCTCCTAAGCAGGAGAGAGGCGGGTGGGTTGTCTCTCCAGCCTTAGCGGTGCCAATGCAATGCAGAGAAGCCTGGGGGTGGGGGGAGGGAGGGACGAAGGGAGAGAGAAAGAGAGAAAGGGAAAGAGAGAGAAGAAGAGGGACGTGCGATGATCACCAGATTGCCAACGCAAGCCTTTTGCTGTGCACAACACGTATCCATCCCCACGCGTTCATCTATCAGGAGGAAGGGGAGGGGGCAGCAGGATGAGGAAAGGTTTGCTGCATTTCTGGGGGAGGTACTGCAAGTCCCCACCAAAATCTACTCCCCCCACCCCTTTTCTTACTCCAACAGCAACACCCACGCCTCAGAAACACTGCGGATGGAAAGGAGGGGGACACGATTTAAATTCTACATGGTGTTTCTGTTCCGTTCCAAGCCTGGTTCTCAGAATGCCACAAAACCCAGTCCCTCTTCTCTCCCCCCTCCCGCCGCCCACCTTCACCCACCAACAAAAGGCAATCATATCCATGATGGATATTGCTAGGGAAAGGATCTTCCCAACTCGCTGGACAAATTTATCTCTCCCTCCGCCCAATATTTGTGGATCATCTTTCTCGCTCCGCCGCCCCCCCCCACTTGCACAGGCACACACACATCCCACCCCCCGCAGATTAACAGTGCCAAAACGTGAGGCAAGAGGTACGGGGAGTAAGGACAGAAAGTCAGGCCTAAAAAGATGGAGAATTTATTACGCACAGAGAAGGAGAGACAGGGAGATTTTCGCTGCAATGCTATAACTAGTTTCAAGGCCCATTGAATTCCATAGGACTTCATTCGTAGTCGACAAGCGTAGGATGGCACCTGCTCATCCTTTTGCTTCTATGACGTGTAAAGAGAGTGTAAACCCCCAAATGGAATAGATTTGTTTGTTTTTCAAAAAGCCTGTTGCTAGAGAATATATACAAGGGAAGCCTTCACGTTCATATACATAATTCATTTCTTTTCGGTATGTCAGTATGTCTGTTAGATCTCTTTGGGAACCACAAATGAGGGTCTCATAATTTTATTACCTGGTAATCTGATACCATAGGAGGGAAAACTGAGACGCCATTTCTTTTCGCCCGATGTTTAGAGAGCCCCTAGCACCTTTAAAATAAGGCAGCAAGCTTCGCCGATTTGCTAGCTTACAGGGGAGGAAAAGGGAAATGTCGACCCCAGCCAAGCACTTTTACAAAGTCGTGTTGTTCAGCAAACTCTGTTTTCTCGTTTGATTGGTCCGACTCCCCCACCCCGCTGTCCCACCACTCACTCTTTATTTAATATGGCTGTTAAATGTTCCTAAAATAGCATCTCGCCTGTAGTACTGACGTAGTGCTCTTTCTGAATTTTATTTGCTGTTTCCTTTGCGTGATCCGAATCGTCCCCGAATTTTCTTTTACAGCGGATCTAAATCGCATTGTAAAACCAGAAGGAAGCTGGAGGAAAGGAGGACGAACAAGGCTGTGACGTTTCTCGAAAGAGGTTTATTATAGTCGCAGGAAATCGTAGCCCAACTATGTTACCTTGTCTGGGGTTCAAAAGAGCCGGCATTCCTAGCACGATTCGGAGAGCTTTTGCGCAGACACAAATCCCGGTGGTGGCTTGAAAAAAGAAAGAAAGAGAAAAGACTTCCAAGTAAAGATGGCGCTTCTAACTACAAATCTTAAATCGGTGGGTTTATTTTGCGCTAAAGGAAGCGGCCTCTGTCGCCAATGTTGTGAGTGAGGAAGGTCAAAATGAACCCTTTCTTGCCAAAATTACACATACTTACACACACACACACCTCAATTTCGAAGCCGAGCTTCGCCGTTTAGCAAAATCAGGCTTCATCCTGGCTTTGGAGAAGGAATTATCACATATCGTTGCACAAGTAGGTCGAGAAAGACAAGCCCTGGAGTTGCCCGCCCCCCTCACTCCATATTTAGAAACATACAACATGCGTCTGGCAAAAAGGAAGGATCAAATCGCAGCCAGGTTTTAATTTCTATTGCAGAAAACACACACGGAAGGTAATGTCACCCAGCTCACAGCGCGCGCGCGCGCACATCCACACACCTGCCTGGGACTCAAGTTTACTTGGAACCCAAAGAAAGATCCTTAAAGCGCTTGAGACTTTGCTGTTGTAATTGCATTTAAATCCTAACTTCTTTTCGAAGGAGCTCAAGGTGGCGAACGTGGTCTTCCTCCTCCTGAATTAATCTTCATAACAACCTTGTGAGGTAGGTTAGTCTGAGAGGTAGTGAACGGCTCAAGGTCACCCTGCCAGCTTTATAACCGTGAGGATTTGAACCCTGTTCTCCCAGCACTTTACACTACACTACACTGCTACCTTCCGTACCCTTTCCCCACCATTTGTCTGTATCTATCCAGCCGATCTCTTTGAAGCAAAATCCCCGGAGGTTTGGTTTGTAGCTGTCGTGTGTTTTACAACTGATTCTCATACGAAGTAACACTGAAGAGCCCGGATGAACCTCAACAGGGATGTGTGGGATAATCCCTAACGGGCAGAACCAGAGCAATATCATAAGCACCAAACTAGACAACTGAACATCCCCCGCTTCTTAGGCTACTAAACAGGCCAGAATGAATGCCATTTTAACTCCCTTTGGGAATATATATATATATATATATATATATATATATATATATATATATATATATATATCTATCTTGCTCGCTTGCTTTGCATCTCAGCAAAGGAAACAAAATTCTGACCCTCTGCACACAAAAATCTGGATAGAATTAGCAAGATCTGCACGTTATTGTGATTTTCATTATAAAGGAAATATTTTATATGAACCGTTTTAAATAGACCTTCTTAAAACATGGGCGCCCGAAGGCGTAACAGAGATTTTCTCAATGAGACGAAAAAGAGTCAGATCAAACAACGAGCAGCCTTTTTGTTGTTTGTCTGGTCTGGAAAAGGTCATGGTCGGCCGGCTTCCTCGGAGACGTCTATTTGTACATTCTAAACGAGGGAAGCCCCATTGTCTTCATTAAGCTTTTCTTGTTTTTGATGACGTGGGTGTCCCCCAACCTCGTCCCTCCTCCCAAAGAGCCCCGGTTCTCGCGTGCACTGATATCCCACCTCCCACAATATCATCCTCGCAAACGCTATTCCCAAGACCAAGGTCCAACCAAACCGTTCCTGGCTATTTTTTCGTTCCAACAGCTCTTTCATAGCCTCCGGAATTTTGTACAGCCTCCTGCACTAATTAAATAGAGTTATATAGTTGTCCTTTAAACAGCTATACTGACCAGCGTCTCGGTATGAAAAGACACAATATAGCCTGGAATGGGTTTCAGGATTACATCTTGCATTTAATCTGCCACATTTCATCCTAAAAACAATCCCCAAAGGTCTCTCTTTTTAACACCCAGTTGTTTCAGTGGATTGCAGTCATTTCAGGATCTTTGCTGGATGCAAACATCTAGTCCCTGTGAAATCATTATTCATTAGTGCATTCATTCAAAGGCACGCTTGGATCGATGCATCGTTGTCTTCCTCTGCTGGTTTTGCTCCGGCCCCATCCACACGCGAAACACACACGAAATGTTTGTTTGGATTTCACCTGATTCGCTTTCTGAAACCAGTGAGATTAACTGGCTGCAATCACCCAGAAAAGTTGCTGGGGGGCAAACCGCCACGCTGACAAGGGAAAGGGGAAAGCTAAATGTCAAATTTACTAATAAATCTGTTTCTCCCGAATTAATTAATCCGGAAGTACTGCTCACTCCTAATAGCCTTCAAAAGGATTCGAGAGGATTTCGCATTGTCATCCCTTGAGAATACATCTGGGGGTGAGTTCACATTTCAAGATTATCATGTCCTTAGCCCGCTCCTAAACGAAAATAAAGCAAAAGCAAATCCACATACGCAGAGTCTCCCACAACCGATTGCACATTCTTTCATACTGTAAACTCCCTGGGGCAGAGAACTGCCTTTTTGTTTGTTTGTGAATCTGCAAAGCGCCACGCACATTGATGGCGCCAAATAAATAAATACATAAATATCATCAGAGAGATGCCTGTGTGAAACACACATCACACCAATCAGATCCCACAGACAAGTGTTTTCATTCATATCCGTTGTGATGCACAAGGGTCCCTCCGCCCCAGTGGAGGCAGTTCACACGTTCAGCGGCTAGTAATCAAGCGACGAGAGAGGTACATCACTAACGCGTTCTTTCCAATCAAACTGGGTTTGAAATGGGATGGTGCCAGTCCCTAAACGATTCTTCTTTTATTTGGATCCAACGGGATCTGAAATCCATCTTTCAGCGCGCGCGTTTTGAACTCAGCGCCGGGGAAAGGAGTCAGGGAAGGAGACGAGACGCCCCGCCCCATTTCGACGCCCCAAAGGCGTATTTCCCTCCGAAGATAAATTGCTCAAAAAGTTGTCTTCTTATGGGCGTTAGTTTGTAAGGTGTAGCTAGATATCGCTCTGTGCATACTTTATAGCCTTAACAACTTGGAGAGGGCGGGTGGAGAGATA